AGCCTATGCCCAAGTTGCACTCTTTGAATGCTCTTTCCTCTTTGAAGAAATTTATGAGAAAGAAGTAAATGTAGATAACCATAAATAAAGTATAATAAGTTAGAAGTCATGGTAGAATGGATGGTTGCAAACCAAAATTCATACATTTCATTAGGTTGATCTTGATCAGGTGCAAAATTTATACCCAGTTCAATTTTGCTTTTGTTTGTTTATACTTTATAATTACGATTTGTGTTCTTATCTATTATAAAATGCATAATTTTTGTTTCTTTTGCACTCACTGACAATGCAAATTCTACACCCCAAAAACTGATGCAATTTTTGCACCATGTTCCTCGTACCTCAATTTTTTTCATAATAAAGTGGGGACCACATCACCTTGTATCCTACCTGACTTAAATCAAAATTTACTCAACATACTTGTACTTCCACGCAATTACACCAATGTAAACAAAATTTGTGTTGCAAACAAGTCGAACATGAGAGGAGTACAAATACAAATGTGTATAGTGCAAAAACAACATTTAGCGAGATTTGGCATTGAACATATTTATATTTGCACTCTTCCCAAACTGAGGGTTAGCTACAAACAACCAATTCCCCCTCTAATTGAGAAAACCTCTTTTTTTTTTTTTAATCAAACGTGAAAATTAAGGGCTACATAACAAGAAAATGGAAGAAATAAATAATAGCAAGTAACAAAAGGGAAAATCTTTAAACCTCCCCGGATATTTCTAAGAAATACAACCTCTCCTTAGCCATCACCTTTCTAAAAGGACATACCGACTTCTATTGACAATTTGACACCCTTTACTTATCTTGTTGTTAGTTGCTATCAATTTATATACATTAGTTAAATGGCACATTGAAATGTATGTGCAAGAAGATAGAAGAAGAGAGAGACACAAGCAGAGTGAAGAGAAAGGAAAATGAATGAAGAAATAAAGTGGGGGAGAGAAGAGAAAGGCGCCAATTGGTTGTTTGGTAAGGTCTCTTGTTGGTTGTAGTGGAGTCTTGGCATCAGATCTTATCCCCCCACCAAGGTTAGGGGATTATGAAAATTTGCCCCTCTTTCATCACTGTCCTAGACATTGTAACCCCATGGAAATCTATGCATTTGTTTTGTTGCTCCAAGGGGCTATACTGGGAGGGCGGTAGCCCATCCGCCAAACCCATAACCCCCAACCTAGGTGCAGGTGGGATTCAATCCCTAGTTTCCATTACAATGAACAAGAGACCTTACCAACCAACCAGTTGGCACCTTGCACCCAAATCTATGAACTTTTATGTGGTTTTTCTTTTCTTTTCCATGTCCTTGCACTTTCTTCTCTAGTGTCTTAAGTCTCTTCATCACTATTTTCAAAACTGGTTCCGTTTTCCTCCAAAACCGTTGATTTTGGTCAACAAACTGCTGAACCGGCCGGTTAACTGTGCGAACGGTTTTGATCGTTTTCCAATTTTTTAAATTGTTTATTTTTTTTTAATTTTTTGTCAGAACGGGTTGGCCGTTTGGGTCAAACGATCGGACTGTTCGAACCAGTAACCGGACCCCTGGTCGGTTCGATCACCGGTTTGTTTTTAAAAACCATGCTCTTCATTCTCAAAAAGAAAATAAAAATAAAAATTAAAAAACTCTTCATTTTATCTCCACCCACATTGATAGTTGTACATTTTAGTTTGTCATCTCTCTAAGAATCTGGAGAAATTTAATTTTTATCTCTTTAATTAGATCATATTTGTGATCATTTCTAGCACAACTTAGATGGCACATAAATTTCCAAGCTATATGTATATAATATTTTATATAAATTATAACATATATTATATACTTTATAAAACAAAATTTCATAAATATTACTTCATTAAAAAAATGTTGTATTAAATATAATGAATTAAGGAATAGGCCCAAAGGCCAGCTTGGGCCTGGGTTATAGCGCTAATTATAGGTGCCAAGCTAGGTCTGGCCCTAGTTCAAGATCATCCTCAATCATGTTTTTCATCTAACCGTTTGAAGCAATCTTGGCACATATATGAAGCATTTGATCTAATCTAGGGTCAGGGGCCACGATAAGGTGCCTTGGCCCCAATCTTTTTTGTTAAAACCATTGTTACTACACATGTAATAAAGTGGGTCCTTGGTGGCCCCAAAGTCCGTCCCATTAAAATTGCTAGAACCTCTCTCTAACTCTCTAATGCCCCTCCACTATTAACATCAAAAAAAAAAAAAAAACTTTGTTTATTTCTTTGAAAAAAAGCTATAATTGACCCAAACCCTCCCACCCTATTTATCTACACATCCTATTTGCTCTATTCCTTGCATCATTTTCTTGTTTTTGCCAAGAAGATAGAGGATGGGAAAAAGCAATCCACTAATCTCTCTATATCTATTTATCATCGAAAAATACTTATATTAATACGGAGAATTAAGTATTACTTACGGGATTTGAGAATTGCCACAAAGCCTATAACTCAAACATATGATAGTTCTCACATCCCTTGTATTATTTATGCATTTCTCACATTTTTATGACAATATTTGTGTTGTTTATGTGGCAAATCTCATGATAAACGATTATTAGGTGCCATCCATAACTCTTACCCCCTTATGGGTGGTGATATAACTTGGTTGGGCCAATCTAAACCCCAAGAAAGGAAAAAAGGGCTAGACTAGTAAATGCCAACCCAACCCAAATTCTATGCACTACATTTGTACCCCTTTTTGTTGTTGGGGCGACACAAATTAAAGGGCATGGGAGCCCATTCCAAACCCTTGTGAAAGTGAATTTGGATTTTATCCTCATACCATCCTCACAACACTTTACATTCATGCATTGAGAACATTTTCCCATGAATAAAAAACATATAGAGATGTTCACAATGCATGGCTTCAAATGTTGTGAGGATGAAATCCAATCTTGGTGAAAACAAGATTAGATCCCAAGTCTCCCCCAAAAACCAGATAGAGACCTTGTGTAGTGAGTCAAATGGCACCTTCCTCTTCAAAATTTACTTGCTAAATCAACCTTCACTCATTTATATGTGGTAAGAACTTTTGTTATACTCTTTTTTTTTTCATAGAACAAACAAAGAATTCAGAGGAAGTGTCTTGCTGCAGCAAATCAAACACGAGTGAAGTAAGAATGTATTTCACTTTATGCTATATTTGGTTTGATAGAAAATAAGATGGCAATAGAAAAAAGTTGAGGAAGGTTCTTCATAAATTTCACACTTATGAACATTCTCTCAACTTTCTGTTACTCTTATTTAATGTCAAACCAAACATAGCATTAAAGAAAGTATCTAAACATTGTATTTCAGTAAAACTTTGTTTGTTATATTAAATCCTGTATATGGTCCATATTTGCATTCTAAACATTGTATTTGCACTGAATATATAAGTATCTGCACTCTTCATAATAATACAATATACAATGTCGCAATCATAACCCCCCCCCCCCAATTCAGGTGCAGGCAGGATTTGATTCTTAACCTCTACCACAACCAAGAGGAAACCTTACCAATTAGTCGATTGCCATTTTGTGTAAAAATACAAGGTTTAGAAATGCAATATACAATTTTTTTACACTGTACATATTTGTATTTGTACTCTTTTCACGCCGAGCATAATTATGAGTGGTGGGGGTGTATTTCACCCCTATTGAACTATTGAACTAGCATGTGGAGGTTGGCATGGCTGAAGACTTGGCCACAAGTTTGGCTAGATTGGTGACACAAAGTGCCCTTGTACATCAAAGGCAACGACAATGATGTGTATCGAGAACCTTGGACTAAGAGGGGCATATGGCAAATGATGGGCTCTACATGGCCTTCCATGACAAGGTGTGTGGAGCCCGGCCTAGAATCTTGGCCAAAGGCACCCCTAGTGCATGCCGCGTGTCTTGAAAAGTGAGGAGAACCATGGAACCCCCTATGGATATTTAAGGGCACGCTACCTGAGGTATTCTCTACTTCCACTCTCAGCATTCTAATCCTCCCATTAGCTTTCTCTTTAGTTTTGCTCGGTTGAGGCCAATTCGTCCTCAGTAGCTTGGCCTAGATAACCTCCTCTCTACCTCACTAATTTGAGCATCAGAGTGTTCTTCCCTGGAGAACTACTTAGAGCTTTTGACTTTGGCTTTTGTAGGTTACTAGATTCTCATCACCTTGTCCAATACAACTTGTTCGATGCATCTTAATAAGAACTTTTATCTAGTGTCTGTCCACCTTAATTAAGACACCATCAATGAGCAATAAGCAAAGAGTTGGAAAATTTCTAATTAGTACCTTGTACTTTGGGCTTAGTGCCACTTTAGTCCCTGAACTTCAAAACGTGACAATTTAATAACCAAACTTTCAAAATGTGCCTATCTAGTACATACCGTTAACCGACCGTTTAAGCAATTGTTAAGTGGCATTTGAAAAGACACAAATATTCTTCAAGTGTTATCTAATTTTTTATCAACCATCCAAACATTGACAAAAAAATGAATAGTCCCAAATCTTTGCCTCTTTTATTTAAGAAAGTTGGGGTCATGTCTTAATAGACATTCTAGTGACCCTAACTTTCATGAATAGAGAGGCAAGGATTTGAGACTCTTGGTTTTTTATTGAACGTTTGGATGGTTGATAAAAAAAATTAGATAATATTTAAAAGGTATTTATGTCTTTTCAAATGCCAATTAACAGTTGATTAATGAGCTAATTAACCATAATAACCGGATTGACACATTTTAAAAGTTCAAATAATAAATTGTCACGCCTTAAAATTCGGAGCTGGCACTATGCCGAAATATAGGGTTCTAATTGGAAAATTTCCTACAATTTTTTTATTTTTGCTTTTTGTTTGATCTTTTTTTCTTGAGTAGAATAATCATGAAAAAACAACTCAAAATGGAAAAGAAACATCATCAGAAATACAAGGTTAAAATCGTAAAAATGGTTAAAGAGTAAGGGTATTTCGAGAAAAGAAAGGCCGCGTAACAAAAACATGGTATCATCGGCCGCCTGCGAGCAAAGCAAAAGAGGGGAATAGGAGAGAGAGAGATCGGCCGCTCGCTGCCCTTGTTTCGAGACGAGACTGGATCTTTGAAGATCCATCAATCTTTGGAACTTTAATCCCTCTCTCCATTCTCATTTCGTCTCTTTAATTTATACTCTTTTTTTAAATCAATTTTGTTTTGGTCGATTATCTATCAATCAATCCTAGCATTTTTGAGAACTTAAAAAACCCTTGTTTCCATGGCTGCCACTGCCGATTCTACCTCCAACAATCACTCTACTCGTTCCTCTGGTTTCTCTGATGAGGGTATCACCAGTCACCAATTGCGTCGGAAGAATCTATCATCTCCATGGGCGTATATAGTTCGAGGTGATACAGAAGCAGTGCCTGCTGGTCCTTCTTCTCCATCTTTATCCCCAGCAACGGCTCTTCAAGATCAAATTCCCGATTCTGAATATTCTCCCGTGAAAACGTCATCATCATCCCCAGATAATTTTGCATCAGATGGTCAGCTGGAGATTGATAATGAAACTAGCAATGTCGCTCGCGCAAAGAAGCCGGCTTGGAACAAGCCTTCTAATGGCGTTGTCGAGCTCGGCCCTGTCATGGGGGCTGTCTCTTGGCCAGCACTCTCTGAGTCCACTAAGTCTTTGCCGAAGTCATCAACCGATTCTTTGAAAGGTCTATCTGATGGATCCATTTCAATCCCTCAGGTTTGGTTCTCAATTTTGTAACTTCTAAACTTATACATGTATGTAGGCTTATCTGTTTTCAACATGCTTTGTTGTTATTTTGTTATTTTTTTTTTCTCGTTTATAAGTTACTTAAATGATTTCATCTGCATGAACGCTATTGAATTTTTGTTTTAGGGGCCTGTTATTGCATCTTCGCCACAAAAACAATCTACTAATAACACAAACGCTAATTCAATTCCAAACCACGCATTCCCCGTCCGCCAGAAATCCATGAAGCGTGGCGGTGGTGGGAGCGGACCCGCAAATGGCATCACTCAGCCACCGCCACCACTGCCACCTCCAGTAATGGAAACCCCTAATAACAATAAGTCCGGAAAACCAGCACCTGTGGTTCCGGAATCTGCTCCAAAAGACCATGGACACAAGAGCAACAACTGGGAAACTGGACCAAGGGGAGGGTTTGTCTCACAGTCCCACGGTGGGAACGATCAGCCTCAGCAGCGTAATTCGTTCAGGAGGGGAAACGGTGGGTCGAATCCTCGTGGAGATGGTCCTCACCATAACAATTATGGGGGTAGACGCGATCCAGATCGGGGGAACTATGAATGGAATTCTCATTCTCATCGGAGTTTTAACGGTAGGGACGTCCACATGCAGCAGCAGAGAGTCATACCGAGAGGCTTTATAAGGCCTCCACCGCCGCCTAATTCTACCACATTCATTAGTCCGCCGCCTGTGCAACAGTTTGGGGGCCCAATGGGTTTCCCTGGTAAGTTATACTTATGGTGGAATTTTAAGTGTTTGTGGATTTTTCACTAATATCTTGGTTAATTTCAGATATGACATCTCCGGTATTTTTTGTTCCTGCTTCGCCGGGTATGTCGGGTATGCCATTTATTCCTCATCCACCACCTCCTCATGCTATGTTTTTTCCTGCTCCGGATCCTCAATTGCGTGCTATGCTAGTGAGACAGATAGATTATTATTTCAGGTACCTGGTTTATTCTGAATGGGTAAAGAACTAAATATTTGCTAATTGATGTGTTTTATCTATTCTGGGAACTTAAATGGCTTATGCAGCACTTGGTTGTTTTATTTTTGCAGTCCGGAAAATTTATGTAAAGACATATTTTTGCGGCAGAACATGGATGAACAGGGATGGGTTTCTGCCTCGTTGATTTCCACCTTCAACCGAGTGAGTTGTTTTGGGTTAATTGAGGGGGTGTTTGACGAATTATTTATGAATAGTCTTGTAAACATGGTACTGGTTCCTTTTGCATTGCTACTTTATGAGAAATCAACATGTATCATTTTTCTCATCACCATCGTGTTCTTCTTCTCCTTTTCTTTGTTCTCCTCCACTCTCTTGATCTGAGGCTAAATGGTGTACTAGAAAGTGTAATGGTAAACTTCATTAATACAAATATCATACAATACATCATCTTTGAGAAAAGAGAAAGTAAAATAAAATAAAAAATACAATGGTAATTTGTGAGTACAAGTGTGATATGGAAATATATATTAGTAGTTACAATATTGCATTGGAGTATCTTCTTTCTATTTAATTTGTTTGCCCTCTTTTTGGAATGAGGGCCAATAATGCAACAACGACCTAACCTGATTGGCCTACTAATAGAAATACAACACTTGATCTTAAAATTTCAAGTATTCAGTAACTCATTTACATACCAAAAACAAAATTAGGGTTCCCCCCCCCATCAATGAAATTCACTCCAAGTGTTGGCTGCCTATGTCCCTATGCCCAAACCAGCGAAATTGGTATGGGGTAAGTACTCGATTTGATTGTATTGAAAATTCTACAGAATCTATAATGCAAAAATATAGGTCTTATTTCTCTGCTGGCATAGCAGCAGCACAGAAAATACAGACGTGCAAAGAACTATTTATTTGTAATAAGGTGGTCTACTATAAGTTGTCTGCACTCTATCAAGAAATCAGGAAACTGCACCTTTTGTCAAAATAGATATTTTGGATGAAGCTGGACAGAAAAGATAAAGGAGGCCCTAAATGTGATATTTCTGCTGACATGTTTTTCCAATGATTCCTATATAGTGTTTTAATACCTCAGTTTGACATTAAAGTTTCATGCAGATTTTGGTGATATTTAGAACTCCAGCACTAACACTTCTTTACATCCTATTGTCTAACATGTGATATGCAGTCCATTGCATTATTCATACTGACTGTGCTCTCAGTGACTTCAGCACTGGTGCTTCAATTTGAATGTCATGTTGGAAAGTTATTGGTATTAGCAAATACCAGCATATATTATAATGTCTACCAACTTTCTTGCTATCGTAAATCTCAACATGCTTTCTTGTGTGCTGTAGTGGACCCTTTTCTTCCATATTTCCTAAGATAGCACAGATTGTTGTCTTTAATGCAGCATTAGGATATTCTTTAGCCTCTACTATTCCTTATTAGGAAAGAAGAGCTGTTTGTTTGGGGCTCTGCAACAATGTAAAAGGAGAAAGTAGTTGCTCCACTTGTTGGTAGAATGCGCTTAACCAGTTCACTCCAGTTGAGAACCCTTAAATTATTCTCTCAATTGCAGTCCTCTTTCCTTTGGACCACCCTAGTGCTTCTAATTATAATAACTATGAACTACTGAGATGGTGAACCTCTGTGATTTATGTAGCTCATAAATTTGTAACAAATCCCTTGATAAAACTTTAAACCATATTGGAGGAAGACCCTCTCAGAATACATGCTTTGCTTTTCTCCATTGCGTCCTGCTTACCTTGATAATTTGAAGGCCTATTGTGTAGGCAACCAGATATGGATAGGCAGGATTGCATATAAACATCTTAGTTGAGGGCAAGGTTCAAAGTGGCAATGGCAATACACCCCAGTATGGCAGAAGGGGTGTATCGGTACTTTGTACTGCATGCTTCTTATTTATTTATTTTTTTTAATGGTTTATTCAAAAATAGGCTTGAGGGGTACCTTTGAGCATGGATTAACATATAAAAAAGAGTTTGAGGATTAGCATTAAAAATGGCATATCGGCACCCTGCCGATGCGATACGATACAGATGATATGGGGTTTATCGTGTTGATACTTTGAACCTTGGGGGGGAAATAAATGATTAATGATTATGTCCCCTTTTATATATTGATCCGAAGTGTTCATAACCCATTTTGGGTTATTGTCAGTGTATATAGAAACAAAAGTTAAGGCTTTTAATCCCTATGTGCAATCTGTACTTGATGTTGAAGCAGGGGATCATTCAAAAATCTTGTCATTTCTTTTGAAAATCAGGTGTAAATTGTTGCTAAATCATTTACTGATTTCTGGTTTAGTTGTTTATAATTAGCATATACTTGTCTAGTTGTCAAATGCCTTGCCAGGCCAAAATGCTAAGCAAGTAAGCATCACCTCTCTGCCTTGACTACATTGCTAGTCTTTGTTACTATTTTGATTTTATTTTATAATTGCTCTAATTGTTTGAGCTATTAATTCCTGGTTGATCAATGATCAATCAAATAAAATATGCTTTAGCTTGGGGAGTGGATGAAGAGGATCCTTTATATTGGGGGGGGGATGGGCTTGCCCGGGGTAGTCACATATTAAAACCTTTTTAAATAGACAGCCTCTTTGTGACCATGCTTATTTGCTGCTTTTAGTTCTCTATCTCACATCCAAATGCTTTATTCCAAGGTTCAAAGTATCGACACAATACACCCCATATCGGGTGTATTTGTATCATATCGGCAGGGTGCCGATACACCAATTATATGGTTAATCGTCAAACTCTTTTTTTATATGTTAATCCATGCTTAAAGGTGCCCCTCAAGCCTATTTTTGAAAAAAAAAAAGAAGCTTGTGGTACAAAAGTACCGATACACCCCTTTCGCCGTATTGAGGTGTGTTGATAGTCTGAACCTTGCTTTATTCTAGGAAAATGCTTCCATCTTGTTCTTCTTTTTTGATAATTGAAATATTTATTCATTAATCAGAATATAAAACTGTTACAAGCATCCTTGAGGGAGGTGCGAGGTGCGACCTCACTCTTGATAGAGGCTAAAACCAGCTAAGAAGGAAAAAAATACAAAATATAGCAATTACAAAACAGCTCAAAATAAGAAAGTTTGTCTTCCTCTTTGTAATTTTATTAAGATTATATAATGAATTGTGTTATTGATAAAAAAAATTACATAACAGCTGAAAATAAGTTTTTCCTATTAACCCCTTGTTTAGCAAGAGAATCAACTATTTTGTTTGCCAACCTACAAACCCAATTGCACTTACATTTATCAAAAAAAAAAAACCTACAAACCCAATTGCATCTTACATTTAGGTTTCTTGTTAACCACTTGACTTTCTTTTTGAGTTCTCTGAAGCACCAGACAACTGAGTCCAGGTCCATCTTGATACTGATTAAAAATTCTTCCATCTTGTTACTGATTAAAAATTAAAATATTGAGGTGTTAACGAAAACCAAGTTGAATCATGTATTGTCGTTGGATTTTCTACATGGTGTAATTTGATGTTATATGAACTAGAGAACCTTATGCTTGGGATTCGAGAAGGCAGAAGTATACTTTACATTTGTTGTTCCTATATCGGGCAGTCAATAGACAGATGTTATTTGGATTTGATCCGATTGAGCTTTGTATGGATCTCAGATGGTAGACCTGTTTGTTGGCACTCTCCACCTATATCTGTTTCATTTGAGATCTGATTTGGCAATTTTTTTACTATTTGAGTACATTTTTATACAGTGCATTATGTTTTAATGAATTGGATTTGAATATTATATAATTTATATTTTGACTAAAAGGGCTGTAAGCTCAAGTGTCACAGAAGTCATTTTAGTTGATTTTGTTGATAAAACTTGGTTTCAAATCACTAGTACATACTGGTTCTACTTTTTACGAGGTTAGGTATCTTGAGTAGAGTTCTTATGGTTGCTTAGAGAGGCAAGTTATTTACTCTGTAAATATCAGGAGGGAGTGTGGTTTACAGGCAATTTTTGTTTTCCCCCTCCAAATATGTTACTTCTGTTTATTTTATTAGAATAATTTTCCATGTTATTTTTCATTGATTTTCAGTATCAGTTAGTTTCTTGCAGTTGTTTTCATCATTGCTTTTTATTCTTTATTTGTTTTTTATTTTTTGCTGAGAATAAATGTGCTAATCTTTTCGTCTAAAGTAAACCCCTTTAGTAATCTGTATTAGATCACTGTGTTTCTTTCATCTTATGCTGTTTCCATGGGATTTTTGGAGTATCTATTGAGTATTGTGTTATATTTTGTGAGATAGTGTTTGATTCTGCAAGGGAACTAAAAAGTTCTTATTTCTTCTTTAGGGATTGCTGCTCTCTTTTGTTTACAGCTTGTATGGCCATGCCTTTTATTTTAATTGATGAACTATATATATATATATATATATATATTGTTACCAGTGCCTTCTCCCTCATCCCCAAACTAAACCATTGTAACTTGTGTGTGATTTGGAGCTTTGGGGGTTGTTGGCAGGTATAGTGTGAAGAATTGACCTTTTGAATATCAAGATGAAAAATTTCTATAGTGAGAGTTATTGTATTAATGTGGAGCTGCAGAAATGTGATTAAATTATATCAGTTGAAATGAAGAAATAACATTCTGCTGTACTTTTGCTTTTTGTTTTTTGAAATTTTCTGTCTGATTCATGCTAGCGGCAAAAATATTGACATTTCAAACCTGTTTTCTGTTGGTATAGTGTGCCATGTAACCCAATGTTTGACATAATAAACACATGGTGTCTAACACATATATGGATCTTAACACAAATTTTCTTGTGGTGCTATTGTTCTATGTAACCTGACCTTGAATTTTCATGATATAGAGACTAGTACATTAATGTGTTTACATGACAAGTATGACACCTGTTAGAAGAAGTGATCTCTTACGAGTTGAAGAGGCTAGAAGAACCAGGAGCAGACCAAAAAGGACTTGGGTGGAAGTAGTAAGAATTGATTTAAGCACCCATAATTTGGTGATGGATATGGTACTGAACAGAATGGATTGGAGAAACTGGATTCATGTAGCTGACTGCTGACCCCATATAGTGAGGACAAGGCTTAGATGATCTCAAGATCAACTTTTATTAGAAAATGAAAAAAGAACTAATTATATACGAACATGCTAAGCATCCAAAACTAGATTGAACACAATAAGACTTCTGTGCCT